GGTACTGAGGATTCGTATTGTGTAGAGACTAGACACTAGAGAGAGGGTTATGCTCGTTAGTACCCTCATGGCCTCATCGCCTCACCTCGCGTCCCTCGCCCCTCCCTGCGGAAATCCTCATTAATCCTGTAACTGGGTATTGCGCGCCATTAAATCCCTACTGGCTTCGTTTGTTTTCTATACATAATGCCAAAGGACGAGGGATGCGATAACATTCAGAGAATCCTCGAATCGATATCAAGCGGGCATATTAATTCGAATTTAATCTACTGGCTAATGGGAGCCATTCGAATCCTCTCGAACCCCCTCCCCATCCGGCAACGGGGGGGTCCTTCCTGGATTCCTGGGACCTGTCCACGTTATATCCTGTACTCCATGCAACCACCGGATACTTCGATTCCCGATCGACGGCTGTTCGTCCCAGCAGACTCGATCGATCCTTTCGAATGTTCGGCCGGAGTGTAAACAGACGAGCATTTGGAGGGTGAACGAACAGGGTGTGGTGATCCTGGTAACTGCGTTTGCTATGGCGTAAGGACTCTGGAGCTCTCGTGGCTTTCAGCGTGTCTGCTTGTCGGCCGGCTGGCTGAATGCTGGCGAGGCTGTCATTGGTCTGTCGGCATCTCTCTTGTATATCCGAGGACTTACGAAGCTGCCCGATTCGCAGTCGTTTCTGGCAAGTGAGAGGACTCGGCAGCGGGAGAATACCTACCAAGGAGAGCGAGAGAGAAGAAAGTCGCTCCGTCGGGCAGGGAGCGTAGGGAAGAGAGAGAGGAAAGCTGTGCGCGGCGAACGCGCGTTCCGCTCTCTCTCTCTCTCTCTGTCTCTCGAGTCGAGTCGAGTGAGTCGAGTGCCGACTGGCGACTGGCAAGTAGCTGTGAGTCGAGTCCGGAGTAGTGAATGGCGACAGTCGGCTCGCGATTATCCTTGCGTCGCGTCGCAATCCAGAGATTTGCGTTTCTTCGCTTCGAGGCAGGAAAAGGCGCTCTTCCGTGTCGTCGGTTCGTTCTATAATATAAAAGTGCTAGTGTCATTGTCATCGGGCACTTGATCGAGAGTGTCAGTCACTTGGGAGTGTCTTCTGTCAGCCCCCATAAAGTACAGTCTGATTGTGAGAGAGACCCTCGAGGGTTCGCATTTCGTGTCGTGCGTGTCGCCGAAAGAGTGTCGCGCGCCTGTACGACCCGACCGACCCGACCGACTTGACCGATATAACCAAACGGGAATCGAATCGAACGTAGAAGGAGGAGACGTAGCGTGCATAACGAAGACCCTGTGCGATCAGTGACCCGTGCAGAAGGCGACCAGCCAAACTCTATCGTAAATTGCCGGCTTGATAATATAGTAGAGGAGTGCTGGCTGGGTAGACACGCGCAACGTGCCTCTGCTGCTGGGCACCTTCGTGTCCATGAGCAGCCCCCTCGCCCCCTCGCCTCCTTGCCATCTTGCCTCCTCGCACGCGCGGCTCGCTTTCACCTCTAACTTTTCCGAAGAATCGGAGCCACGGGTAAACCTTACGGGACATCGCTTACGAGAGAGGCTGAGTCAAGATTTCGGAAAGTTTCTACGAGGAAGCTTCGAAGGGTGGATCGATATCCTGTCGACGTCTTTGGATCGCGCCTACTACCTAGCGTATCCTGGGGCTGTCGTCCTTCCCTCTCTCTCTCTCTCTCTCTCTTGCCTGCTCGCCTATTCTCTCCCGCGAGTGCATTTCCAACAAATGCACCCTACCCGTAACTGCAGCCTGGCGAATTCTCTCGCGCACTCTCCACGAGATGACTGAAGCAGAGTGAAGAGATCGCTTCCCTGAAAGAGACACGGATAATACATCGGTCGCGCACTCGCTGGCTCGTACTGTTGGAGCGACGCCCGACGACGCTCGGGAACGCTCATCCGTCCAGGAGATTGGCGTCGAAGGAACCGTCGAAAGAAACCGGCAAGCTGGATGCCACGGACGGCGCACCGCCTCCTCCGCCGCCGCCCGACATCACCATCACTCAGGATGATCGGTGAGAGAACGAGACCTACCTAACCTACCTAGCCTAGCCTAACTTAACCTAACCCTAATATAATCTTATCTCATTTGAAGTCCGTTTCTAAGGAACCGCATCGACGCGCACGAGGGCGCGCAGCTTCCCCTCTTATGTTCCTCGCTGCTGTCCACACAACTTGTCAATATCTTTTATATCGTAGAATTAATTTCTGCCGCGGAATGTCACGCGTGCGTGCACGTGCCACGTGCCTTATTCTGCCGCGTGGTTTCCACCTATGTCACACTGCACGTAAACAGGTGTCGTATTACGATACCGTGTGGACAGGACGAGCTCTGCTCCCCAACGTAACTTCCGTCCTCCGCCTCCCCCCTCATCCTCCAGGACCACCCTAACCTCCTCCGTCTCTTCTTATTTTCCACATAGCGTTCGAGGTCTAGCAGCCAATTTCCCCGGTGCTGCCCCCACGGAACATTCCTGCGACCCTGCCCCGACTGCATGCGCAGTCTGCGACGTCAATTAAAGAGAGAAAATTCCCTTCGCGTCCAATTCACATGTATCTGCTTAGGAACAGTCCGCACGTCTTTTCAGCCGAGCCCAACAATCTTTTGAAATCGGATCCCTGCTCGATTTCGCTTTTTTGTTTTGTCGCATTCTTCTTTTTTATTATATTTTTTTTCCTTTCTTTCACTTTTTTTCTCTTCACGCCCCGTTTTACTCTTCTGCGTCGGCCTTTCCCACGTACCCTCCGGATTACGGCCTATGTCATTGGTGTCTCTATCGATTATTTTTCTAGCCCTGGCTACAAAGCGAATTATCGATTTCCTATCAGTTAAACGAAGCGAGCGCACTTTATCTCGGTAGGTCGCAGCCTCTGTCGATGCTGCCACCTGAGCCACGTGCGTGTAGCTCCGACACCTGCACAGATTTAGTAAAGCCGCACGTACAGTCGATCCACGAATAAAACGTAGGCTTTAGGTGACTCTTCTTCATTGGATCCAGTAAGAAGATGGCCTCTCCAAGGTACGTTTTACTCGAGGACTGACTTTACTTGCGCAGTTCATGCTCGCGAACACACCCCACTCGCCACCCCTTCGCATGGCTTTAGGTTCGTGTTTACGCACATACGCAGAATATATAATATACGTCATAGCTTGCAGCGTGCTTACGTAGCACTACGTGCAGCATTTACTGATTACGTTTGCGATATTCTAACGATAAGGCACCACTGTGATCGTAGAAATATACTCGGTAGTACGATCCGTGAGATTTAACACTGTAGGCTGCATTGCTAGAAGCAAGGAAGCACGGAGCTCCAATCACAAAGGATTGTGGTGGTCGACTGATAATTGTTGAAAAGAGCCAAAGAGACAGGCTAAAAAGGTAGGCGGAATGGCAGGCACGAACCTTTTCACCTGTCTCTAATAATAGACTCTGGTTTATCCATCGATATGGCGATTCGATGACGCATGGAGGGTCGGTCGGACTAGATAGCTGCTTACGCATTGCGCGAACCTCGAGGGGGCGGACAGGCAGGGGTAGAAGTGCGAGCGAGGGTAGCAGAGCCAGCAGAACCGGCAGGACGTAGCTCGACGGCGCATCCTGTGTCGCTGGAAATTATTAGCTGCGCGCTAAGGAAATCGAAATCTGGCTTCGTTTCTTCGTCCATTTCCTGCTGCTCGTTTAATCTCTTGCCCTTCGCTGTCTGTCGTTCCGCACTATTCCTCCGACTGCATAGGCTCGCAAAATGGATGTCAGTATAGATTATTAAAGCCAGAAACAAAGTGGGCGCAGCGTGGTGGATGGAGAGGAGGATGCATCTCGGTCAAGACTTTTCCTACGTCGATGCCGGTGTAGCTACACCTAAACCTGTCGTATAAGCCAAGGCTATCAAGTGCATTCCGTAGGTGCTCCCTGGCAGCTCGACTGCACGAAAGATTACTTGTCCTCGACTCCCTCTTTTCCTTCTTCTTCTTCTTCTCCTTCTTCTTCTTCTGTCTCTTCCTCTCGTACTTGGTCGCCCTTCCATTCTTCTCTTTTTCTCTCCTGATTCCTACTTCCCTGACGAACCTGGCTTTCTTATCTCGGACATGCAGTGACCAAGTGACCACGTGCCCCGACCAATTCTCTAGGAATTTCCTTGGAGTTTTGACGGCTCCTAAACGCGGATGGGCGTCGATGGGCGTCGATGGGCGTCGGTGGGCGTCCACGAGTGTCTCCTGGCT